CGGAAAAATGGCCGCGGACCACGTGTCCGGGGCGGAAAATTGCCGCGGACCACGTGTCGGGGCGGGAAAATGGCCGCGGACCGTGTCACGGGAGGGAAAATGGCCGCGTATCCTGTTCGTACCCCGAGGCGGAGTTCACAAATCAAGGTAAATTTTTGCGGCTGGAGCTGGTTGTAACCCGAAAAGTTTGTTAGCAGAGGTGTTCGTAACCCGAGGTACCACTGTACTAATGTTCCTGGCTTACCAACACAAATACACCTCTAATAGATAAGGCAGAGGAGGCAAGAACCAAGGAAAAGGTCCATTCCACTATCTCCCAGAGTGCAGGTGACTGTAGAAGTTTTGTTGCACCTGGAGTGGGAAGTATGCTCTAAAATTCACAAAATCAAGAGACAGGTTTCTGCTATCTCCTCTCTCCTAAAATAAAGTAGTACAAGATTACATGGACAACGGGCAACTGGGGCACTTCTCCTGATTCCAAAGTTATTGTCAGCCTTCGAGGTAAACCTGACTAGGAAATCAAAGTTATGAATGCAAATGCTACTTTTATTATAAGGTAACAGAATCTTGCAAGTCTGAATGTGCTTCCTCCCTCTCTCCCCTTATCTTCAAGAGAACTTGAGAGGGCCAAGCCTGAGACACATTTTCAAATTACATTTTTGCCTCACTCAAATTTCTTTTATGTGACTGTTGTCTTGGTTGTGGATCTTCCTCCTCTTCAAGGTTATTCCTACAGCCCATTACAATTTTAGAGCACAGGCGATTATTTCTGTGGTTGCACCATGACTGGAAGGAATATTAATATTCCTAGTGATACTAACATATTCAAAATACTGCACAAGCTGAAGATGCTCAGGGCATAGATGATTCTAATCAAACAAATCAAAATACATAATAAAATAATTGCCTTTTAAAATCCTGGCTATAGAAACATTTCTTTACAGATTTCCTAAATGTAGAAAGAGGAGTCTAAACAGAACTTCCAAGGAGATGCATTCTGTATCCTGGAAACTCATATGCTGGATAGATGGGCATCTAAATTTCTAAACAGTTGACAAACGTTAATGTCTACACAGTCCATATTGTGCTCAGAGAGTAATTGACAATATATTTCTGATTGTTGTGAACTGCCCAGGGTCTATGACTGGGCAGTATATAAATTGAGATATATAAATAATAAATATTTCTCTTTGAGTATTATATGAGCCTCAATCTTGCCTTGTTATTGCATTTTGTACCACTTACAACTTTGAGATGTGACTAAGATATGGATAACGGTTTCCCTAGAAGTTGTTTCCATACATAAAAAAAAAGGTGTTTTATTTTAAAAACAAAGGAAGGAAAAGAACGCTTCCAAAAAATGTGCAGTTCTGTTCAATGTTGACAGAAATATCTCAAAATAATTTCAAAAAGTAGTTTAAAAAATTACTGGAAACTTGTAATACAATTTGTAGATTGGAATTCAGGTCATCAAACTGAATAACAGATGCCATAATAAGTTTATTAATCTTGAAGTGCTACAAGGATCTTAACTGTTTTGCTATAACTGTCAGCCCCATCTGGTAGACCAGACCAGGAAATCAACTCCACATGAAGGCTAAAACTACTTTTATTGAGATTGGCTATAATAAAGAATCTTGCAAGTCTGATTGTGTTGTACTTCCTCCCCCTTCATAAATTCCAGGAAATTAGGGAGGCTTCTGCCTGAGCCACTTCCAAGTGTTACCTCTTTGCTCTGGAGTTAAAATGTTTCAGCTGCTTTTGCCTAGTAACGGTTCTTGCATATTTCTGTCTAGGTCACCTTCCTAACTCTGTACAATAACAGACCAATTTGGCTATCCCTCTGCAAATTGTTAACATTATTTGCATTTCTGCATAATTCTCAGTTCTAAAGAAAGTAGTATGAATTTGCTTAACAGCATATTGTTGTCTTGGTCATGTGTCTTTCACATATTCTGGCTAGAATTAATAGATTGAGAAGAACTAGGATTTGAAAATGGACTCAGGTTTATTTATGTAAAGGTGGAGAAGTGAGGGGCAAATCTGCCATTAGAAAGATAAATGAGGATTCAAAGAGGAATTTGAGTTGAGAAGCATCATTTTATGAGGTTTTCCCAATTATTCTATTCCTGTGATAAACAACAGTATCACTTCAGTCATTGGGAGATTAATATGGTAATGTAAATGTGCTTATAGTTGCCCTAGTGAGGTGAAAGGAGCTTTCTATATGCCCAGTCTGCAAAATCCTCATAGGAATGTGGTTGTTCCCAACTTGGGAGATGCCATGGGAAAGGGGGCATCTTCAACTAGGTTGGAAGGAACAGATTTTGTGCTTATTAATAATGAAGTCTCCACTGTTGCAAGTGAGATTATAGCTTAGATTTAAATTTATCTTCTTTTCTGATTCAAAGATTTTGCCCGACAAAGATGGGAAACGATGCATGTTCTGTGTGAAAACACCTTCACGGACCTATGAAATGAGTGCCTCAGATACCAGGCAAAGACAGGAGTGGACACTGGGTGAGCATTCTCGGGGTGCTTTGCACTGTTGCATCAAGTTTCTCTCCTGGGATGATCTGAAATGAAGAAGTTGAGCTGCTTAGTAGCAAGCTTTTTTAGGTAGAGTTCCTTCATGGACTGGCCATCTTCTTGTAGAGTATGACTGAACTAAATCAGATTGCTAGCATTTTTACCAAAAGTTAAAAGCATCTGTTCTTCAAGATTCCATGTCAGTGTTGCAACTAGTTTGGGATTGGAATGCAGATTCTTTTAACAATGTTCCTAGTGGAGTTCCTGTTACTGGTTAGATGTCAAGGAATGTTTGTTTGTTTGTTTGTTAGATTTTTTGAGTCTGCCTGACTCCAAAAAGACTTTGGGCAGCTTACAATATTTAAAATGCACAAGTTAAAAAACATGACCACATGGACAAAACAACATCAATCAACATTCAGAAAATATTTGACAGGGGCCCTACAAACACCCTAACCTCAGGCCAGGGAATAGAGGCAGAACTTAAGGAACTTCTGGAACACCTGGAGAGTAAAAACCATACATATCTGCAGGGTGATGCTTTTCCAGAGGGGAGGGGATGCGACACAGAAGGCATACTTCCTTGGTCCTGCTAGATGGCAGTGTTTAATTGAGAAGACCTGGAGCACACCCACTGTGTCTGAACTGTAGAATTCCCAAACTGAAAAAAAAACTTCTTTTTAAAAAATATTTTTATAGTAATTTTATTTAAAAAATTACATTTAAACAATAAAAACTAATACAAACTAAAAAAAAAGAAAAAAAAAGAAAAAATAGAAGGCGCAGAAAAGAAAAAAAGAAAGAAAAATAGAAAAGTAAAAAAATAAGAATATAGTAAAGAAAAAGAAATATATAGAGTAATGATTCACCCCTTCATCACAAGTATAAACAATTTTAGTAACTTATCACCTGCTCTTAAAATACAACAAATGATCTCTTCTTCCCATATCCCATCTCTTATTTATAAACAAATCTTTAAAGCCTCATCATTTTAGTCCTGATGTCAGCAAAAGTCCATTAAGAGTTACCAGATATATCTATTTTAACCTTGATCAAATAAACCAACTTTATATTCCTTCCTTTTACTTCTAA